GTCTATATGTGTGTGTGTATATATATATATATATATATAGATATATATATATATTTTAAAAACACTGTTTTGATTATAAAATGCACTGCTGTTTGAGTAGTCGTGGTTGTACATGCATGCATTACACGTATGTATCTGTGCACAGCAGTGGTCTTACAAAGTTTGTTGGTGCATTTGAACACTAATATAATAAATTCTATTCATTATAAAGCAGTAATTGTTGAACATAAATCCATGGTCATCAAAAATGGTATGAGAGTGCACTACATTTGTTTAACATGGCCACCATTCATGCCAACAATGAACTACATTCTTGGGATGACATGAACGAAGCTGGTCAATATTCAGTAGATGCTCTCAGATGGCCCACTTCATTTTTGGTGATCAGAATAACTAAAGTCAGTTGTGTATCATGGGATGCCTGTTATGTTAACAAACTTGATATATCCCAACAGTTGTTTCGCTGTTAAAAATAGTATTAGTTTTGTAAGAACACTGTATGTATATTTGTGTATATTAAGATGAGTTTATTTGATAAACTATTATAGTATGTTTTTTTACAAAAAAACCTAATATACATGTCTAAAGACACAGTTGATGTGTAATTTGTAATTTAGATGTTACCTATAAAAATAATTCAGACTTTTAGAAGTATGATATCTGAATTTTTAGCTTAACTCTCTCAATAGCCTATATTTTTCTCATGAACTGTTAACCTCAACCTTAGGGACAATTTAAGTTAATCTCGTTGTGCCATATTCATGAACTGTTAACCTCAACCTAAGGGACAATTTAAGTTAAGTTAATCTAGTTGTGCCATATCTATAATCCAAAGATGAGACTTTGTGAATATATCCTAACAGAAACTAAGTTTTTAAGACTAGCATAACACGCTGGTGATCTCTTAGTAAGGATAAATTTCTTTAGCACTTGTATTGTGTATTTGAATCATGTCTTTGGGTTTTTTTCCATACAAAAATTTACATGCATGTATATGTAGAAAACTAGTGCTACTAGTATTCAATCTTAACATTATGATATTTATCTCCAAGTTTACCTAGACTAGAATTAAAGGATTTTTTGTATTTTCTGTTGACTTTAACAGTTTTGTGGCTGGAGTAATTCTGAGAGAGCGTTTACCATTGTTTGAAAGAATGCTGTGGCGCGTGTGTCGAGGTAACGTTTTCCTAAGGCAGAGTGAAATTGATGTACCCCTGGAAGATTATGTTACAGTAAGCATCATAAATATATTGCTGTCATAAGCTATTGTTGATTTAACATTGAAATGATTTACATATATATTTGTTTTTAATCACAATCATGGTTTATAGTGTCGGGTTGTCTTTAAAACTTGCAGTTTTTATCATAATTCATTAGGTAAAATGTTTTATTAGTGTCACAAAGCATATACATTTTCAACTTGACAGCACAGTTACTGTTAAAATTCACATATATATGTATGTAACAAGACTCTTGTTTAACAATTCCGAGAATTTCTATAAAAATGAAAAGATACTAGTATTAAAAAAAAAGTGAGCTTTGTAAATGTTTCATTTTGCTTATAGTGAAGTATTTTGAGATATTTGACATTTAATGGCTAGAAGCAGATTAGAAATAACCTAAAAACAAGTTTAAAGAAGTTAGATGACAGTTTGTGTACCAATACTAAGCCTATTATTGACCACATATAGACTAACCCTATTATTGACTGTGTAATTTTACTGTTCTGGAAGTTGCATATTTAATATTGCTAATAATTTCAGTTGAATAAAGTGTGATTGTTTGCAATATTTTAAAATATTAATTTTTTTACTGTCATATAACTTTTTTGTTCTCCTTTTAAGGGAGAGAAGTCGAACAAATGTGTCTTCATAATTTTTTTCCAAGGAGAACAACTTAAAACAAGGGTGAAGAAAATCTGTGAAGGGTAAGCTTGCATTTCATCTGTCTTTCTTAATCTATTTTTCCCCTAGCATCTCATTGTTAAACTTTAAGGTTTGTAGGAATATATTGATTGTGGTTTGATACCCAGTGTGGGAACAGTGTACTCTAGTATTTTTAACTACACGTTTTTTTTGAGTACATAATTTAACTTTGGGTTTACGTGTTCTGATCCCAATAATAGAAAATCATTTTTTAGTAATACTTGTTGTTAGATGGAATTATTATATTGATTCCAGAATGAATTTCAAAACTAACATATTTTGTTCAAGATGGATGGATTGAACTTAAACAAAAGAATATCTTATAATTGCAATGGAACCATCTTCATTCATTACAGTATTATTTGAAGTGAGGTAAGTTATGAGTAATTCCATTAAATTTGAATAACAAAAAAATGCTATGCATTTGAAAAATATGAGATTTTGCCTATAGGCTTTGAGGTGATGGTGTATAAATATGTTTTATTTTCCTAAATATATGCTAAAAATTACCATGTCAAATCATAGGTTTCGGGCTACTTTATATCCATGCCCAGAGACAGCAGCAGAGCGAAGGGAGATGTCAATAGGAGTTATGTCTCGTTTGGAAGACCTGAACAAAGTTAGTCAGAAATTTATTATTTATTAATAGAAATTCCTTCTAATAAAGCTTTAAGGAGTGGCTGTGGCCCTGTGAAGGCTGCTCTTTGCTTAAGACAACTGTTTAGTGTACATAGAGAAGCTATTTTATGATTTCAATCTGGATACTTATAATATTAGTGTATTGTATATAGCCTTGAATTCAAGAGTAACCTACTTTTCTTGTAGAATTACTGCTAGTAACTTATTTTGTCTGTTATGAAAACTAAAACTGATAGTTGAAAATATTATTTGCCTAATAATTGTTGTTCTGAAAATATTTCCTTTGCAGGTTTTGGAACAGACGAAAGATCATCGCTATCGTGTGCTCGTTAATGCAGCAAAAGATATTAAGTTATGGATTTCAAAAGTTCAAAAGATTAAGGCAATCTACCACACACTAAATCTTTTTGATCTAGATGTGACTCAGAAATGCCTGATAGCAGAGTGTTGGTGTGCTGTCTCTGACCTGGACAGAATTCAGCTAGCTCTACGCAGAGGAACGGTATCTAACTTTTACATACATTGTAGACAATTGCTTGTATGCATAAAAAAAAAAGAAGCAAACTCATTAAAGTAAAACGCAAACTTCTTCCCGAACATTAAATCAGTAAGTGGTCAATGTTGAAAGAAGATATTTTTGAGTTTTTGCCTGTCTTTTCTGTTTTAGGAACGCAGTGGAAGTACAGTACCTTCCATTTTAAATCGTATGAACACTCAAGAAACCCCTCCCACCTACCACAACACCAACAAGTTCACTCGTGGTTTTCAAAACATAGTCGATGCGTATGGTGTGGCTGATTATAGAGAAGTTAATCCAGGTGAGCTAACAAATAGTGGAAGTGTCTTTTGTTTCACAGTGTTACGATCCCGTATTACCGTACTATATAATATGTAAAACAAAAATTACAACTCTGCAAATTTAGAATATAAAAATAGTTTTAGAAATATAAAAAAAATCAGAAACATCAAATATTAACTTGTATACAATACAAAAAAATCACTCTTTCTTGTTTCTTGGTAGTTCTACATGGGAACTGTCTCTTCAATTCAAACACGTAGTATGTCGAAATTCAGCTTCAGTTTGTAAATTCAAAGTTCCAGTTCACAACTAGATGTACAGTTACAAAAGTTTTCACTGTTCAAATGTCCACTACACCAAAACTTGTCGATATTTTCAAAACGGTTTTCAAAAGTTCTCAAAAGCAACAAATTCTGTAGAGTCGAAACAAATAAGCTAATTTTAGCTTATAACAAAAACCTACGATTAATATCTAGGTTCACAAACTATTCCGTGTCGATACAGAAATATCTGTTTCAATGGCCACTCAAACTAAACGAAGCCCAAATATTAAAACTTGTAAAAACAACATAAAAACCTCTTTCTAACGGAAACTTGAGACCTTTTATATAAATCCCGATTGACTGTTATACAGCATGGGCATAATATATATCACGTGATTAAAAAAACATTAGTTAGGTGCACATCATTAATCAGACGATATGCCTACAGCACCTCACAACAAAGCTTTCACTGAAATATTACAAAAATATGTAATTTAAATGTAGTTTTACACATATTTGGGGTTATGATTGCCCTAGTGGAAATTTCATTAGGCTAATGTAGAAATATGAAACTGGTGGAAATTTTGTTAAATATGTCTTCCATGACTGTTAAGTACTTAGTTAATGCTGTTTTATATGTAAAGACACTTTAGAGTCTTTATATATATTAAACAGCTTTAAGCAAGCTTGAATTTTACTCAGTATGTTTCACCATTAAGGGTGAAAATCTGAGCCGTTATCGTCAAATTACGAACATTAACTGCTTCTTGATAATTATAGTCGCTTTTCAACACCATGAGAATTTGTTTTCAACTACCATTTAAGTTGGGCTTGTTGAAATATGTGGGACGTGTTGATCTTTTAAATAAATACATATGGTTTTAAAAAATGTAGTTGTAGAAAGGCTTTAGCTTTAGACTAATTTTTCACCCATCAGTAAAAATCCCTATCAACCAGTATATTAATTGAGTTCTCAGGCATCCGAGCAACCAATAGATACAGTTACTGTTAGCACTGTTCTTTTTTAAAAAAAAAAGGGTTGAAAGAATTAATTAAGTTTAATACTTGGATTAATCATTAAGATGATAATATTTAAAAAAAAAAACATTTCAGTTGCTTATCAATACAATTGGTGTTTTGTTTTACATTGTAGTAGTGGTAGATGATCACTAGATTGTAAGTTGTGTCTGCTGTGGTTGTATTGATTACCATTATCACTCCCCTTTGTTAATAACAAGCTTACTGTGAAAAGAAATGTTCTCTTTGATTATTATCTGTTTTATAAATCTACTTAAGTTTACTTTCTATGCAGAAAGTTGTCAATTTTTGTCATCAAATGAAATGCAGTAAACAAGGAACGAAGTGTCATAAAGACTTACTAAAATGGTTTCAACAGTAGATTAAAGTATATTTTTCCATTTACAAGCTCCCTATACCATCATCACATTTCCATTTCTCTTTGCTGTAATGTTTGGGGATGCTGGACATGGACTTCTTATGGCACTCTTTGGTTTGTGGATGGTTGTGAAAGAGAAAACTCTGTCAGCCAAAAAGTCAGATAATGAGGTAAGTTATAAGCCTTGACTTTCTAATTATTGTTTTTATTGGTATCTTAAATGTAGAATTTGGGGTACATTTTTTCATCTTCCAGTATACTTTGTGAGTGTTTATGTGCTAGATCTTTGCTGATTACAGTAGAAATCTAACTTCAAAACTAAGAAGCTTTTAAGCTATTGAATTATTTATAAAAAAATTTAATGTCCTCTTCTTGTAAAGTTAATTCCACTTGCAACAAAACAGATTGCTAAACAGCTTATGTGATTGCAATGTGTCAAATAAAGAATGTAGTTAGTGTACAAGGTGTAGTATAATGAATATGAAACATTCTGTAAAAGCGAGAGAGGATGCAAGTTTTACGTTAGGCCACGGAACATGTATGATCAGTCCAGCAATGCTGCTCTCAAGGGAGTGAACATTACATCAGTATTCACACAAAAGAATCACTGAATTTAGGAATCCTTAAGAGAATAAAATCTTTCTTGTATGAAGAATTCACATAAACCTTCTGAATTAAGAAATTAAATCATTTATTTAATTGCCAGAGTGGGACTTGGTGATTGGTTTGCTAGATTGTGAGATTGTGTTATTGCAAAATCACACACACTACACTTTGGATCGACAGGTACAATATAAGTGTGCTGGTCAAGTCTATCTGTTTGATTAGAGTAATACAAAAGTTGGTGGGTGCTGTTGACTAAGTAATCTTCCTTCTAATGGTACAATTCAAAATTTGAAATGGTTAGTGCATATGGCTCTTGTTTAGCCAAATGTCCCAAACAAATGAACCCACATTTTATCAGGAACAAGGTTAATTGATGTTGTAAACATTTTACACAGTCTCTCTCTCTCTCTGTGAATTTTCTACTATATGTAATGCTGAATATTTGTGTATATTTGCTAATTGTGTTGTTAGTGCTATGTTTGTTTACTAGACTGTTTTACCTAAAGTACTTTCCTCTTTAGTTTCTTAAGAGCATTTACAATTTGTAATATTTCTTGCTATTGTTTTGGTGCATAGGTTCATAATGTAAACATATTTCGTTGTTTGATATTGACTTTCCTTTCAAATCTGTTTTTACATTTATGCTTTTATTTTAAGTTTGCATATATTGATTAAAGTGTTACCTTTAACAGCCTTTTAGACACAACATCGAAACTAAATGTATTTTTCTGGAGTGAAGGTACACTATTTCTATTTTTTTGAGTCTGACAGATCTAGTTCTTTGAATCAATAAGAATACAGGTATATCCAAAATTTGCATGCCAAGTTTGAATCTAAGTGACGATAATTTAAAATCATGTAGCGTGGTTTTATAGTTCATAAGATCATAAAGTTAGTGTGATATTCTGAAATTTTATCTTGTCAGTTCATGTAGTTAAAATGTAATTCTCAGAGATAAAATATCACATGAATTAATTTTTATGTTAAAATAGATATAAAGAATATCCTCTTAAACATTTTGTTGTCTTACCTTTCCAGCTACAAAGATTTACTTGTGAGAGAAAAAGTAATGAATGTAGTTCACTTACTGAGTGTTTCTCCTCTTTTTCTTTTTGAAGAAAAGTTCTACATAGAAAATTGCTTTTGGTTATTGTTACCTGCTAGAGATATTTATATCACTGGCTAAAGCACATGTTCTCCTCTCTGCAATTATGGAGTCCTATCAAATCTGTCAGTGCACAGTGTAGGTAACATGGCAGTGTCGTTAATGTTCAAACTACCAACCAGAGGGAAGCAACTAGTTAGCAGCAACCTACTGCCATTTTTTTTATATGCGTTATTTAATTATTTATTAATTCATTTATTTTTATTTTATTACTTATTATTATTACTGTGTATTATTCTTTTTTGTACCAAGTTCATAATAAGATGGGATTGTGTTCTTAATTTAAAGAAATGGACATCAAGACTGGTTATCAATGCTCAAAATTATAGCAACAAACAAACACAAGCCCAGCATAGCATCTTCAATCTGATATATGATTGCAGACAAACTAATCAAATTAATTATAATACTTGTGAAACATTCAGAAGAATATTAATATTTTTTAAGTACAGTCATTGAGAACATAAGTTATAAAGGCTTAACTAACTAGACCAGAAGCTTCTTCTGTTTTAAATTAATTTTTTTAAGACAGTGAAGTTAGGTATTTTGCTTAACAGTGATAGAGCCTAACACTGTTGTTCTATTCTGTCATCTTCCCAGACATTATCATCTTAATTAACAAATAGTCCTACTGTTTAATATCTGTTCAACACTATAGCAACAAGGCAAACAAATTTTTATTATCTTAATAATTAATAAATAGTCCTACTGTTTAATATCTGTTCAACACTATAGCAATAGGGCAAACAAATGTTTATTATCTTAATGATTAACAAATAGTCCTACTGTTTAATATCTGTTCAACACTATAGCAACAGGGCAAACAAATGTTTATTATCTTAATAATTAACAAATAGTCCTACTGTTTAATATCTGTTCAACACTATAGCAACAGGGCAAACAAATTTAAGCCTGATTTACAGTAAAATTACACCATCGAAATTTAAGTAGTACTTCATATTTTATTAGAGAACTCAGAAAAATGGATTTGTCAACAAAAAAAATTAACTGTGCTGAATGTATCAAAGATTTTTTGCTTTTAGATTGTAATTTTATTATTAACATGGAAATTTTTGTCACTATTTTGAAAATAAGCAGAGTAATTTTTTTTAAATTCTGTTTCTAATTAATCATTTTTTATATTTTTTCGCTTTCAGATATGGAACACATTTTTTAATGGACGTTACATAATATTACTGATGGGGACCTTCTCCATTTACACTGGTGTAATTTATAATGATGCTTTTGCTAAATCCTACAACATTTTTGGATCTTCTTGGTCAGCCCCACCAAAAGAAGAGTATGTGAGAAAAATGAATGAATTTTTATATTGTCAAAAATTTAATTCTTTTTTTTTTATATCTTGCACCTGTTACAGAACTCTTAGTAACATTTTACATTATGTTAATTACGTGATGCTGTTCATCTGTTCACAATTTGTTTTCAAACTTAGACATCTGATTAGAGTTTGATCTGTTTGTTTTGTTTCTAGTACACATCAACTTCCCAAAAGTAATTAGTTCAAATTCACTAGAAATGTGAATACTTGAGTAATTTTGTTTAGATTCATGAGTGTTATTGTGTCAGAAACTTGGAATTATGTACATCAGTTGCTTAGTTTTAAACTCTGAAGGTTTGAAAAGCTTGTGTTGTCTGTAAACCTTTCTTTGTTATAATTTCTTGAAACCACAATACTGAAAATTTACACGAAAGCCAATCACATAAAACATTATTGAAACAAGTATTTCCTTCTGCAAATTTCAATTGAAGAATAAATTCATATTTTGTGAGAGCACTCAGAAAAATAGGTTAAATCTTTTTTTTTTTTGCAAACAAAGTTTAGTTAGCTTTTTTTTTAACTTGCATTAGATAATTGTAAAAACAAATATTGCAAAGTATTCAAGCATTTAAATATGATTTTGTGTTTGATTAAGTTTTTGCATAGTTTAAATGGAATGGGATGTTAAATGTATGATTTTCATTGTTTCTTCAGTAAAGACCCAAATCTTTATCCAGAACACATACAGCTGAATCCACTGGAACACTTTAGTAACTCTTCGTACCCATTTGGAATTGACCCCGTAAGTTATTCAGTGAAGTATTGCTTCGAGAATATTGTAGAATGATGTCATCACTGCATCTATTGAACAAATATGTATAATACTTATCATTATAAGTACTTATTGTAAAAAGTAATTCATAACTATAGGTTTATTGTCATTTTCTATCATCTGTTTTCACGAGGTAGCAGTAGTTTAAGTACTTGAAAAGTTAAAGTGGCATTCTTCCTGGAATTTGAAATGAGTCTTTGTTACTGTATAACATAAAAGTCTTGTTTAAAAATGAATCTAAGACTTAATCTTAATTTTACATCAATAAGATGAATGAATAACTGTCCTACTAGAAATGTGTAATTTAAAACAAATGTGAAATTTTGTACTTATCACGTTGAATCTGGTTATCCACAACCATACTACTATTATCAACATAGCTCAGTATACTGGTGATAAACATACTGGTCCACTTCCTCTAATAATCATGTTACTATAGATACACACACAACTTGTTCTCGTATGCCTAAACCTATTGTGTAAACTCTTTTTTAAATGTTCAGAATTAATCCTATAAAAATAAAATTAACTAGTGTTGTCTGGAAAATTATCTGATGGTAATAAAGGCTGCAATGCATCAGTATTTAATAATTATTTAACACCAGATAGTTTTTGTAATCATAAGAAGTTAAGTTTACCAATTTTGTTAATTATTTACGAAAATAAATCTGACACAAAGTTTTTTTGAAGTGCTTGTGGTATTTAAGGGGTGTTGCAAAATAAATCACACTTTTTTTCCCTGAGAGAATAACAAAGTAAAATAAAATTTTAATTCAATCAAAAAGTTATTCCAAGTATCAATATCGCTTGATTGGGCCACCATTGTTCTCATGCACGAGTTTTAATCGATTTGCAAAATATTTCAGCAATGCAACAAACATATCTGTTTTTGTGGCTGTCTCTTTGAGCACATCAGTGAGAACACGAATCAAGGTTTCACGTTTGTGTCTCTCACAGTCGGGGAAAGTTTCCAATATTTCTTCTGTGCATTGTTGAACGAAAGCTTCACTTGTATTCTCAGAGCATGTCTGTGACTAGTTTTTGAGCCATCCCGAAGGCAGCACATGCGACATGAACCTGAGTTCTAGTGAGCACCATGATTCAAAAGTTTTTGCAAAAAATTAAATTCAAAGAGTCAAACACTCAGGAGTACATTGAAATAACATTTTCTCATGAGTGATGATATTCGCAGTCCTACCAAGTTCATCATTACTTTGGGGGAAAAAGTGTGATTTATTTTGCAACAACCCTTAGCAAGAAAACCAATGCTGGAAAGAATTAGTTGTTTCAGTTATAAGATGCTAATTGTTTTTGTGTATTTTTTTCTAGGTTTGGCAAGTGGCAAGCAACAAAATATTGTTCTTAAATTCATACAAAATGAAAGTTTCCGTGATCTTGGGTGTTTCTCAAATGTTGTTTGGTGTACTTTTGAGTTTTTTGAACCATAGGTAAGTTTTCAGGAGAAATAGTTTGAATTCCTATCATTCTTTATCACAGTGACAGCAAATTGAATTTATCCAATTGATTTTCATTCAAAATATGCTTTTTGAAATGTAATTATAGAAAAATGTGTATATTGATCTTCTACATACAGGTTATTTTTTTATCCATAACAAAAAGTTGTGTTTTCTTAACTAAGAAAGTTTAAATACTTAGGAATGAAACAAAAATTTTACATTTGAATAAAATAATTTTTCAAAAATTCGCTGAATAACTGTCAAGGAATTTCATGAACAATAGCACAAACATTTTGTTGACATCTTGAAGCAGTAATGGATAAGAACAATTGACAGTCACACATTTTTGAGCTGTTTTACTTACAGACATAGACAATTAAGCAACATCAAGGTTTTATATCACTGCTGGTGCATTACTCATTAGGCATTTTACAGAAGTGCCATCTTCTGCCAAAACTGTCTTGTATACAGTAGTTGCAGTGTGCACCACCTGGTCGTATTGTGATAATTAAAAAAAAGAACAGTATATTATATTTTGACATGTGCATGTTCTGTGGTCACTTCATGGTAGTTGAAAGAAAAGAGCGAGACCAAATTACCTTAAATATGAGCAAAATATTTGGCAATAAATGAAGCTCCTTTTTTTTTAACATTTGCTGACCATACAGTTAGAAACTTTTGTTCTAAAGCTCTTTTTTTTTTTCACAAATTTTCTGGCCATATAGTTAGAACATTTTTGTTCTAAAGCTCCTTTTTTTTAACAATTGTTGACCATACAGTTAAAAAATTGTTTGTTCTAGAGCTCCTTTTTTAACAGTTGTTGACCATACAGTTAGAAAATTGTTTTTTTCTAAAGCTCGTTTTTATTTAACATTTGCTGACCATACAGTTAGAAAGTTGTTTATTCTAAAGCTTTTTCTTTGTCAAAGACCACTACACAAGTTTAAATATCTGTAGGTTTATGTTGGATTGTTGGCTTAGAAATAAACTATGTAAATTGTAGGCAGGTGCTTTCATCTTTTCGTGTAAATAACTTCATTCTTAATTTTTTACATATTTTGTGTATTCTAGTATGTGATAGGGTAAAACCATTTTCAAAATATGTTGTACACATGAATGAGCTTATAATCTTCAAAGCCCCCCCTTTTTTTAAAGAAGTATTAGCTCAACTCGTTTGTAATTTTTTCCAGATATTTTCGCCAGCCATTGAACATTGTTTGTGAGTTCTTACCACAGTTAATATTTCTACTTGCAATTTTTGGATACCTCGTGGTACTGATATTTGTAAAGTGGGTCACTTTTGATGCTTCCCAGTCTTCTTGTGCCAGTAGTTTGTTAATCATGTTGATCAATATGTTCCTTATGACCTATCCCAAAGATCCTTGTTACTTAAAAGAGATGTATAATGGTCAGGTATGTACTTAAATTACTTACTGGAAATGAATTATGTAGGAAATTTATTTTTTGGTTTTATGTTATTTATTTTTAATTCATGCTCATCTTGTATTGTTTACTTGGAAATAAACTAAGCATGTTTACAGACGTTAATTTCATCTTTGATAAGAAGAAAGATTTTCTTTATTTACGTGATCAGAAATGTTAAGCAGTGCTATATATTTTATACATTTAAAAAGTTAATTTTAGTAACATTTGGGTATTGGCAACTTACAATGTCAGACTTGAATAATAGTGGCACTATTATTTTTAATACCCTAAACATTTAGCATATTATGTGTGTGTGTATATGTATATATGTTCATAATTCTTGACATGAAATGCATAATACCATATTGAATTTCATCTTGTACAAGGTCAAGGCATCAACACTTTGACCCCACCCATGCACATAAGGTTAAATGAAATTAGATTAAATTTATTAATGTCATGAAAAATAATAAACTAATTGAAATTAGTGTTTCTATTTATTACTCTGTTCTAGTATCCCAACTATTCAAGTAAATTAAAATATTTCTTGTATGATTTCTCATCATTTTTGATTAATTCAAGATTGTTTAGTTTAATCGATTAGTGTCACAACTCTCGAAAATAATCACTTGATAAAAATCTGTTTCTAATTATTACTATTTTAGATTATTACTACTATCAAAGTCTCGTGTAATAATAATTTATTAGTTGAATGAATTAATTAATGAGCCCAATGAGTAATTGATTAACAGGTTTCAATAATCAGTTTTAATGTTAACACACAGCTCCTTTCACTGCTATACTTACTTGCTCACAATACATCAAGTACAAATAACATAGTATATTATCTTATTGTATTTAAGACAGAGTGGAAAACTTATTTTTTTGTATTATTAATTAGTAAATGCAGAGATTAAAACTTCCTGTTTTTTCTAGATACACTACTGGTAATTCACAAGATTGATACGCATCCATTAAGAAAACATTTGCAATATTGGGGTGAGGGTGCAAATTGGAGGCTGAAAATGAAAGTTTCTTAATATGCATCATAAAACTTTTGTTACAAATCCTGAAACTGAGAACTGGGGTTGAAAGCTTACTTGCCCAAAGACATAAAAGCTTTTCTGAAACAGGCTTGGCTCTGCTCAGTAGATTAGTGCTGTATTAGAAATAGCACAGTGTGTTGTTTTCACATTCATTTCGAGACGAAAATACTGCTCAAAGTGGATGAGGAAAATGCACGCTACTTTTATGAAATTATTAAAGGTCTATCATCGGACTGAAATAAATAAATTCCCTGTTGCATGAAAAATAGTGTTATAAGTACACAAGTATAGAAGATAACACAAGTACGAAGCAGTAATATTAATGTTACTTGTGCATGAATGTCTACATATTAATTAAAATGTGCTAGATTTCTTTTAAAAAACCTATTTTCTACCTTCCATCAACCCTCCCTTCAGACTGCAGAATTGGCTGTGCTTGTCGTTAATCTTCAGATTTTCCCAACCCAACCTGTAAATGACTTGACTTTTTCTTGTTACCTTCTAAACAAACAATATGTTTGCTTCTCAGGTGCTTTGTTGGAGTTGTAGCAACCTTTTCCCTTAATTATGAAAACGAATGTTTCAAGTTTATAAACATAAGTATAAAAATTGGACCTGGTGTTTTCAACCTGTGTATGGTAACCAAACTTGTATTTGTATTTCTAATATATTTTTACATGTTTCAACCTGTGTATGGTAACCAAACTTGTATTTGTATTTCTAATATATTTTTACATGTTTCAACCAGTGTTTAGTATCAGCCTTCATATATCTTCAGATGAATTTTAAATTATTTTGATCCATGTAGAAAAATATCGAGCATTCCAAGGTGCTTTTTTTTTTTTAAGATAATAGAAAATTCTTGAATGATCTGGAGTTGTTGCAGCAATGTATTAGTGAAAGATAATTACAATCGGACTTTCTTGTTCCGACATCATGCTAGCTTTATAACAAACTGTTCTATTAAAAGGACCCTTAGTGTTCTTTTTAAGTAACTAATAACTATAAACATTAAGCATTCAAAGATTTTTTAAATAAAATAAAAATTAGTTGTTCACATATAGATTTTGGTGCTGCAGTATTTTACAGAATATAGTAATTTATTTCTTGCTTTATTACATTTATTTTACAGAATATAGTAATTTATTTCTTGCTTTATTACATTTATTTTACAGAATATAGTAATTTATTTCTTACTTTATTACATTTATTTTACAGAATATGGTAATTTATTTCTTACTTTATTACATTTATTTTACAGAATATAGTAATTTATTTCTTGCTTTATTACATTTATTTTACAGAATATAGTAATTTATTTCTTACTTTATTACATTTATTTTACAGAATATAGTAATTTATTTCTTACTTTATTACATTTATTTTACAGAATATAGTAATTTATTTCTTGCTTTATTACATACACAACATCATGATGTTTCTATATAAAAAGAAATTTTAGTAGTTCTATCTGGCATTACTCAAAGTAATAACTAGGCTTAACCTATGGTGTAAACTAATTTTAAACCTTACTCAATTGAATCAATATATTTTCCTAGAGATATATTCAAACCGGACTCGTCATCATTGCTGTTGTTTGTATTCCGTGGATGCTGCTGACAAAGCCCTTCGTTCAACTGTATCAGTGGAAACAAAAGCTGCATAAAGTAAGTATTTTATAATGATACATTTTGCTGCCTTTTCAATGCCCTGTTTAAAGTGTAAGTTTATGTTTGTTTTTTAAGGTTTCTTTATTGAAGTTATTGCATAGTTTTCTAACTTCTCTTTTATGTTAAATTCTTGATATAAATATTCCCTTTTATACCATCATTCAGTTGACCATTCTTCATATAAGAATCTAAGAATAGCTGTTGCTAAATGGCTGTGGGTTGGTATTGTGGTAGAGCTCTGGATCTTTGAGCCAGGTTTGAACCAGTTGAATAACACAAAATATTCCTTGCACTTTAAATTGAAGGTGTGTTATAAGTGTGAGAGTCAATCCTTTAATACAGGTGGTAAGATACTGCTGACTTCTGTCATCCTTTGGTTAGTTTCTTTGTCATATACTATGGACATCAAGTCCAGATGCTGATAGGTCTAAGAAATGCTAGAAATTGAGTGTGATTAATATTTTAACTGATAACTTGTCTGATATGAGATTTTAAGTTGGTGTGTGGAAAACCACACTGCCATCTACTATATTGTCTTGTATTAATAGGTAGCACAAGTACATGAATTAAAGAAGAGTTTCATGTAAGCATTATACATATCAATATTTAGCTGTATACTTGAAATTTTTGAATCTTCATATGGATAAACGTTTTGCAAAGAAATACATAATTAAAACATGAATCAGTGGGTTGTTGCGACCTTAGGTTCTGTGTTCTTACAGGAGATTTTTACCAAGAAAATTTAATATTAGTATTATTTTACAGTCTGAAATTAATGGGGCTGTCTTTTCAAATAACCTTTATAAGGTTCTTTCATATTTGAACTGTATCTTTTTATTGAAAATAAGACTTTTTTTTTTAATACCATTACAATGTTTCTATATAATAAATAGAAAATTTTTGTAGTTATTTCTGGCATTACTCAATGTAATAACTAGGCTTAATGCACTATGTAAATTCATTTTAAACCTTGCTCAATTGATACAATATATTTTTTATAAAGATTTGTAATGTTTTGTGTAATACTGAGTGTAGATTAGATATATTCTTACATATCATGTCTACAGATGACTCAACATTCACCAATTGAAGAAAATGCAGGTGAAATTGAGGATAGAGTGAACCAACATCATAGTGGAACAAGTCACGGTGAAAGTGATGGAGAGTTTGATTTTGGAAATGTTTTTATTCATCAAGCTATTCATACTATTGAGTATTGTCTGGGTTCTATTTCTCATACTGCTTCATATCTTCGTCTTTGGGCTCTTAGCCTTGCTCATGCTCGTAAGTCCGCTTGTTCTCCATTGGTTAAATTTTTCTGTTTTGGGAAAAGATAACTGTATCAGGGAAAACTTTTCATTTAATTAAATATAATTATTATTGAGTATCTTTATATTTTATCATAACTCATATGTTTGATTATTTAAAGAAACTTTTAATAGTCTTACTTCTAGTTATTGTTGTTGTTAACTATAAACTTAATAAATCCTATGTTCAGAAAGACAAGCACGTATTATTTGGTATCTAAAATAAATGTAAAGTATACACAGAGGAAAATAGTTAGGTACAGTATGTATACAAGTTAAAGCTCTCTAAGTGTGAGTTGCATTGTAATAAATGTGATACGTAACAATTCTTTAAAATAAATACCACAGAAAAGACAACTTTAAAAGGATATTCTGAAATATTTGAAGAACTTAGGTGAAATAGATAGTGGATAAAAACCCTCCTCAGGCTTCATACATCCCATATTTGTTTTGTAATTGGAAATAATTAATTGGTAGCATAGGTGCCTAATCAGGAGTGGCACATGCCATTCCGCTTTGAATATTTCTGTAGCAAAATATTTTCTGGCTTCACTTTGCCTGTCAGTTCTTTGTTACCCCTGCTTCCCTCCTCCTAACAAAGTTAGGCACCACTTAACAAAGTTAGGCACCAGTGGTTGCAAGGGTATTTGATTATGTATATAACTACCCAACTACATGTGTGTGTTGAGATAAAATGTTTTAATGTTTTTAATTCCTGTACACATTTGATACAGTTGTCAAAAGTATATACATGGACAGTCCCCTATTTATTCTATAATTTAAGATACTTATATGCAAGTGTGTTGTATTATATACACCGATATGCTTGTGTGTGTATGTTCTAGGATATTTCATCTTATAGTTTTTTGATATATCTCTCACATATTTTACAGAGCTGTCAGAAGTATTATGGACAATGGTCATGCGTATTGGGATTAATGCTTCATTGCAATATGGGTTTTTAATGATGTACTTTATTTTTGCTGCTTGGGCAGTATTGACAATTGGAGTTCTCCTGATCATGGAGGGGCTGTCTGCTTTTCTTCACGCTCTTCGTCTTCACTGGTGAGCTTTAAACTAATTAGTTCTTGAATTTCTTTTGTGTTTTCATCATACTTGTAGTTTCACAATATATATTTTCTTAAAGTCTGTCTTACTAACCGATAAAATTACTACTTCCACAGTTACTGTAGGTAGTACTTCTTTATACACAGACATATGTGT